GGCGGGGGGGGGGGGATGTTTTGCAAACTTGAGGATTAATTCACTCTCTTATGGTTGGTGTATAACGGAATATATATTAGCGTGATTTTTTCGGATGACGAGGCTGTTTTTAGTGTGACTATTCTGTTCGGCCAGGATGCGCGCTTCTTGATCGCATTGTTCATTGCTGTGCGTCAGCTGAGTTTGCCATAAGTCTGGTAAGTGTATCCATGGTGGTCCAGTCCACATAGTGCATGATCTTGTGGCTGAATAGTCGTTAGTCCTCAGAATCATGCAATCCGAGAATTGGTCCACAAGGGTGTTGCCTCTATCTTCATGTTCAATGTAGTTCTAACGTACAGATGAGCCTTGACAGCGCGGAACTGCTGCTAGCTCCAGTCTTGGGATGGTGAGCCGCTTGTGGAGTGCTACCTTCGTCTTGGAGCACTGAAAGGCAACTGTAGTACTATTTGGATTGTGGATGGCAAGGCATATGACTGCAGTAATTGCCAATTGAGAGGTATCAGAAAAACCATGTAATTCTATTGTTGATGTGGCGTTGAGTGGAGTTTGCTTGCACTGAGTTGTGGAAACGAAACTTACTGATATATCCCTGGTATCACTGGTAACACCTTTTCCCTGTGAGCTATCTAGTCGAATGCGCGCATGAAACTGAACGCAGGGAAAAGGTGTTACCAGTGATACCAGGGATGTATCAGTAAGAATCTCGAACAATATTTATTCTATATCATAAGTAAAGATGTAACACTCAGTTGTTCATCAGATTTATCAATAATTACAGCTTATTAAAAAAAATAAACATTTGGTGATTTTAGATGACCAATGAAGTAAAATAAAATATTACATGCATATTATTAAAAAATAAGTAATATAAATTTTTAAATATCAATAGTGTAGAAATTGGTTGAGCATGAATTTATTTAACTTCAATCATTTTTTGAGAATGATAAATTCTTAAAATATCACTTTTAATATTAATATCTGTCTCTAATTTATAAATATTGATAGATCTACGAAGAATAATTTGATACTATTTAATTTTTTTACAATTTATAGGATCTTTGTCAATGCGTAAACAAATTTAATAATATTAAATCTCGGATGTTTATATTTTTACTCAATCCCATATTCATGGAAATATATTTTTTGTCTTGAATATGTCTTGAAAAAATAATAGTCTTGAACATCAAATACTTTCCTTAATAAAATTTCTTCGTAAATATTTATGATAAGTAAATAATTAAGTTTGTATAATTGGTTATTACAGTTTTTATATAATAGAGTGAATTTAAGCTTATACAACCTATAATTTTAGATGAAATATTGAGTCATTTTAGTTTTACAAATTGACAAATTGAGATTCTTGCAAAAAAATTGCAATGAATAGACAAGGATTTATATAGTTTTTTCCCTATTGTTTAACAATGATGTAACTAATGTGTTTTGATTTTTCAATAGCATATTTCTGTATGATAAATACATAACTGATTATTTTCAATCGATTTGGAATTAAATTATTACATTAAATTATATTAAACAATATTGCATTATATGGAAAATCCTTTAAATTTATATGGTTAAAAATCTTTTGAATAGGAATATATGCATCCAATATTTGTTTATATGTATAATTTAATTTAGACTGTGAATATATTACGATTGTCCATTGAAATTAATATAAATCTTATTTACTTTTTCGTTTTCTATAAATTGTTTAGAAATGATGTACCAAGATCATAGCATATAACAAAATTATATAAACACTTTGTTTACATTAACAAAGTTTTTAATACTTATCAAAATACTAATGAGGCAGAGGCAATGATATGTCTATTTTAAAATTATTTACTATCAATGAAACAATAACTGTGAACAGAATTACAGAAAAGTATCGAATTTGTATTTCTTTAATAATTTTAACTTCTGTATAAGAAAGAATATATTCATTTGAATGACACATATAATGGAATAAAAATTTAAAAACGTAATTTGTTATTTATGTTATATTTTAAATATACATCGTTACAAGTATATTCTACTTTATTTTATTAATAAATTTATAATTTTTATGAATTTAAAGGCAATTAAGAAATTCAGTCAGTTACGCGAGTGACGGTTTTAACTGTCAGACGTTAAAAAAAATATATATATATATATATATATATATATATTACATAACACGATTTTTTATCATATATTAGATAGGATTTAAATTAAAAGAAAGTCATAATTTAAATTTTTAACTCTTCTGTATTAACATAAATGCATGAAATTGATGGTATAAAAATCAGAATAATAAAAAATAATTGGTATCATGAGGTAATAGATTAAGAAAGAATAAGATGCGATAAGTATGTAGGGTACGAGCTTTTAACACTAAAATTTTATTGAAATAAGCTAGTCACATTACGGATGTAATAAAAATTTATGTCTGTAAAATAAAACCAAAGATTTAAAACTTCTATAAAATATAAGTAAAAAAAGTTAATTTTTAAATATTTGCTTTTCTTTAAACGAACTTAAAATATTCAGATACTTGAATTTATTTAAAAAATAGTTTTATGATAAAAAAATTTTTAATAGACAACAATAATTTAGTTAAATTTGTTTTTATTCAACAGAACGCGTATAATGAGATAAAAACTCTTTATAAGCATCAAAAATTTTGTTCAATATTACAATTTTTATATACTGTGTGTACAACATTTACTTATAGTAATTTTTAATAAACAGTCTATAACTTCGTTCAATCGGAATAGAATTATTGTTGCACATAAAACATTGTCATAGAAAAAGACAAATGGCTACAGAATGATATTCTTTTTCTTTATTTATTCTATCTGACTTATTTTTCCCATTCTTTTACTCATTCTCATGCTCTCATACTCTCACTCTCTCTCTCCCTCTCTCTCTTTTGTTCATTTTATTTTATTTAAACATGACACTATAAACTATAAACAAAATGATGTGTATTATAATGCACATATCTGAAATCTCAATGTGCTCAAGCTACACAATGATATACGGAATGTGAATTTTATAAAAAATCAATGTTTTCCTCGATGAATTTGTTATAAAAAAAAAAAAAGCAATTTTCAATCTAACTATTCTTTGAATGGTTTTCTTCTTCGTGGTCCCTCTGCACTTATCGACGCTTCTTCCTGTAAAAATGAGTTTAAATTTGTTATAAACTATAATCAATTATTTTGATCTTAATAGTCAAATTATTGTTATAAATTTACCTTATTATCAGGAATATCAGTGATGACCTCGTTATCCTCTTCTTTATCCTTCTCACATTTTTCTGTCAATTCCTCAACTTCATCTTCAGTAACTTCACTTTCCGCAGCTGGATCAGTTTCTTCTTTATCTTTCTGAACTAAAGCTGTAGTTTTAGGTTCAGCTTCTCGTTCTTTAATTGCTTCTTTACGATCCTACATGGTCGGTACAATTTAAGGCTTTATTATAAAATTTATTCTATTAAAATATATCATTACAACTATTTGTTAAATACATCTAGCTCTAATAGTGCATTACTTACTACTAGTGTTACTAAAATACCTGACTCGTGAAGCAGCAACAATAAATAACCAGCATAATCGGTAGGCTTAGCAATATAATATACACAGTCCATATCCATGGATGTTCAGCGGTATAATTAACAATTCCTTGCCAAAGACCAGACTACAATGGAAGATGTGATAAAAAAAAAAAAAGTTACTGGACACTTTTTAAATTATAAAAATTTTACGCTTATTTTGGGTATTTATTACGTAGCTGTAAGCTTAATTACATCGACCAAAACTTTACTCAACGAAATTACATTTTACTCCCTGTATTACGCGTACCTCTCGTGCTCGTGAGATGAGAAAACACACGTAAATACAAATAGGAATGGCACAATATGTAAAATAGGCAACCCACCATCCTGGTTTGTAATTCATCATTTTCATCATTTTACCCCACAAAGTTTCCTAATCAAAATATTTTATATTTACGCAATTAATTTCACGAAATATTTATGCGAATTATCAATAATAAATTTTTCTTACATAAATAGGCTAAAGTATGAATGCAGATTTATCATTATTAATTATCCTGATCTTACAAATAATCACTTACCGACTCTGTGGCAATTCTTTGTTTACGAAGATCAAAAGTCTCTTCTGCCCACTTCTTTGCCACTAGCTCATCGTCGGTAATAATGATGTTGTCAAAAAGTATGTCAGCCGACATACTCCATAATTCAAAGCCAATTGCGTACTGTAAACATATAAATTATGATTTCATTCAGTTAGATCGTCGAATTTAGTAATAAATATAAGCTTACAATTGGAGTCATTTTGAAAGGATTATCGTCATTGAAGTAGTTAGGATTATGGATTAACTTTGGCTTCCATTTTCCTTTATAGTTCAGATTATTAATCAACGGTGGGAGCCATTTGCCTTTGTATTGCGGATTTGTAATAAGTCGTTTTTCATATTTCCCACAGCCGGGCGCCTCTGCACACTTAGGATTTTGTATTTTAGGTGGTTCCCATTCTCCATCCATTTCGTCATCCCAATCTTCGGGTTTTACGGAATCTGGATTTGGAATCATTGCTGGCTCATTCTCTAACCAACCTTCGGGCATTTCATCATTTTGATCAATAATTTTCGCTGGTGCTTCTTCGTCCCAATCATCAGGCTTCACCGCAGTTGGATCAGGTATTTTTTCTCTTTCATCCCAATCTTCCGGTCGTTTATCAGTTGGATCTTCAATTTCAAGTGGTGGATTAACTGGCGGAGTAAAATCGTCGAGTAGAGAGCCTTCGTTAACAACATTCCCATCGACTTTAATTGTAAAAGTATTGTCCGGATTTACGATTAAAGTATACAAATGTGGTTGTTTATCTTTGAAAAAATCTTCTAATCTTTCTTTTGGTTTTTTAGCGTGTTTTTCCTCGAGCGAACCATTTAGTGGATTTTTATGTTTGAAGATGAAATGTAGCTAAAAATTCAGTAAAACCATTAATCTAAGACAAGGGATACTCGGTTCTATAATACTTGTAAATAATTGTAAATATACCTTATGATCGTTGCCACACTTATCGGGTCCAAACATGATAGTATAAGGAGTCTTATCGTGAAAATCTTTTAGATTTTTGTATTGCGGATCAACCGATAATAATTTTAAGTAAGCACCACCGCATTCTTGTCCCTCTTGGAATATAACTTCGTATTGCACGATCAAGGATTTGCTCTCAAATTTAAATGGTTTACTAAGCTGAGTGGAGATAGCTGCATGTCTAGCTTTACTTTTGAACACAAGACCAAGATTACCATCCTCTACGTTCCTTTTCGGCTCTTCTATTACCCAGAGTCCTATAAAATACAAAATATCACATAATTCGAATAATAAATTAAAATATTTTATCAACTAACGCACTGATTATGCTATAATTAACGGATATAAATTGTGCTTTATTTCTTAAAGCTTTTGAAATTGGCTGTGAATAAGGCTTAAAAGAAATTATCATTTAATTTTGATATTATTTATTATAATACAATTAATGTATAAGTTTGTAGGGTAACGTACTTTAAAAACATCTTAGATATTCACAATCGGTTGCTTAGGTAATTAATAATATGTCATTCGTCTTACTCTTCCATATTATGTAAATGTAGTGATTATAATTTATATTAAAAAAGTAACATATACTTATGAAAAATATATACTTAATACAATTGGTAGAAAGCTTATTTATCTAATAAGAATAAAAATCATGCTTTATTACAAGGCGGTAGTAAATTATATAAAAGAAACATCTAAAAATATTAGTTTCTATAATTAGTTATTATTTTAAGCATTTACGTGGAGCGTTTGAAGAAACAGAGATAAAGTTGTACTCTCTACATTGACAGAAAATATTGAAATAAAAATTTGATTTATAAAATTCTAAAGAAGAATGAAGATAAGCAAGGAGAGGAAAGTTTTGATAATATAATGCAGTTATTATTGACCATCGTATTTTGCAATTTCCTCATCGAAGTCATCTTTTTTGGCCTCGGACTGGATCCACACTTTGCTAAATTTACTCTTATCGTCAAAGTTCTCAGCCAGGTAAACCGGACCCGACGCTTCCGGGCTCTTGTAAATAAAGGTCTTCACTTCGACATCGGCGACATTGTCCTCGACGACGATGTTTCCGGCGCCATCGCTAGGCTCCACTTCTACGAACCTGCACTGCATGCAGGCGACGAGGAGCAGACAAAGAATTTTCCTCCGACTTAGAGCCATTTGAATGTACAATAATACACTTCTCAATTATGAGAACTCGGTGCTCTTGCGACCGATGCAAAGGAGAAAGGAAATCGAATCACAGCGTTGTAAGGGAAACCTTATAACCAAAACCTAAGCCACGACTACGCTTCAATAACAAGCCCCCTACTTTCCAATCGAATATTCTACCATAAATATCTCAAGATATATACTTTAGTTAGTGACTTCCTACGCTAGACATACGATACCAAATAGTCGATTTTCTTTTATTTTACAGCTTCGGCACCTCGAGCAATTGACTAGCCTCGTATACGTAACGCAACGTACACATACGAGAGGCGAGACCGTATTACGCGCCCGTGTGCGATCACACACGCGTATGCACGTCCGTGCACACGCTCGCTCGCGCATACTCGCGTATAAATACACATGCGCACACGTAAATTCATGCACAATTCGCGCGCGCGCGCGCGATAAACGTCTGCACATTCATCAATGGGCATGTGTACGTGCGCGCGCGTGCAGAAGTCAGCGATCGTCAATACCGCCCTTTAAATCTCCCTAACTCGATTAACTTTATTATATTTAATTCAATCGGCCATTCCGCCCTCTCCTTATCTTGTAACTCTGTCTAATTGATTGCGAGGCAGATGGGGGGGGGGGGGGGGGGGTTG